TGCCGTGTGTGTCTGGCATCTTCCCCTCCGCTTCTCGTGTGAGGCTCACCCGCATCAGCATGTCACAGCTTCAGGCCTCGGTTGAACAATCTCCATGGTGTGGACAGACCATGTGTGTCCATCTATCCATGCACAAGGGATGCCTGGGCTGTCCCTGCTCTGTATTAATGCAAAGTTGGGGAGGACGGCCTCCCACTGTCACCACTGAGGGTCTCTGAGGGCCTGGGATATCCAGTGCAGGGCCCACCACTGAGGACTCCCCTCTCGTTTGGGCTCTTTTTTGGGGCTGCTTCTTCCCAGGCCCCTCAGCTGGGCTGGCTCCCTGGCAGGTCAGAGTTCAGCTCTGAGGCAGGTGCAGTGAGCAGAGATGGGGAGTGGAGGGGCAGCTGTGTCCCCGAGTGGCACTTCCTTCTGTGTGACCCTGCCCCTGGCTTTCTGCCAGCCCTTCCAGGTCTCCAGGATACAGAGGTCTGAGCAGTTCCCACCACGAGGCACCTGCTCCCTATCCCCGAAAGCTCTTCTGGAACCAGTCAGCGTGCTCGTGGCATTCCCTCTTAGCAAGGGTCTCCTGGAGATGTGCCTGCAGCTGGGGCTCTTGTGCTAGAATTCCACCTTCCTGTACGTGGGACTCTGTGGTCAGCCATTGAATGCTGTCCCCAAAGATGCCCACATCCCCATTCCAGAACCTGTGAGTTGGCCCCTCACATGGCAAAGGGACCTGGCAGATGTGATTCGGTTACGGATCCTGAGATGCAGAGATGGCTCCAGATTGTCTGAGTGGGCTCAATGTCATCACAATGTCCTTATTGTTAGATTCAGTGAGACACAGAATAGGGAAAGAGAGAGAGACCAAGCCAGGCACTATTTCAGCCAAAAACCTTTATTCCACTAACATGGAAGGGAGACTGAGCCAGGTTAGTTTCCGCCAACAAAGGAAAGCAGGAGGTTTATAAGACATTGCGGGTTCTGGCAGAGTAATGGGCAGTTTTGAAATCAGTGGTATGCAAGTGACACCGCCCTTGTGGTCTGATAATATCTGGCCGGCTAAGGCACAGGCTCCCAATTAGCCACTGTCTCGGTACAAAGCATTCCAGCCTGAAGCCTACGGACACAATGCACAAGACTTTCCCTTGATGATAAAGGTAATGTTTACCCCTTCCCAGGAGGGGAACAGTGGAAAAGCCACTCAACATAGCTGTGCTGAAGCTAAGCCAGCCCCGAGACCCAATACTTATAGGAGGAGACAGAAGGAGATTAGACACAGACACGGAGGAGAAACCACCTAAAGACAGACGCAGAGACCGGAGTGATGTGGCCACAAGCCCAGGGATGCCTGGAGCCACCAGGAGCTGGAAGAGGCAGGAAGGATCCTCCCCTGGAGCCTCTGGAGGGAGCACGGCCCTGCCACACCTGGACGTCAGCTGGTGAGACCTGTTTTAGACTTGAGCTCCAGAGCTGTGGAAGGATACATGAGTTGTTTAAGCCACTAGTTTGTGGTGTTTGGGACGGCAGCCACTGGAACCAGCGTAGACCCTAATTAGCGATTCTGGAGCATCAACCTGTGTGTTCATCCCTGCATCTGAGGAATGGACCGTATTCATTCGCGTGCTAGGCACATGCAGGAGGGAACCGGGCAGGTGAGAAGTCCTGCGCTGGTGAGGTCTGCCCCCCAGGGAGGAAAGTCAGGCCGTGAGCAGGTGGAATGCACACGGTGTGGGAGCTGCGACAGAGCAGATGAAGTTGAGCCAGTGAAGGGTGCAGTGCTGAATGGGGACATCAGGCGCAGCTGATCAAAAAGTGACCACTGAGCCGGGACAGGTGAGGACGAGGACGCCCATCCCTTCTGGGGGAGGAAACTGCCCATGCAAAGGCCCTGAGCGAGCATCTGCTCCTTGGGAGGGTCCAAGGGCTGGGGACAGAGTGGGTGTGGGGTAGGGATGATGGCAGAGGTCAGGGAGACGGGGGCACAGCGACTGGGGGCTTTGTCAGCTTGGGCTTGGAGGGAGGGGGACATGTTGGGGGTGATGGTTTTCCTCTAGTTTGGTCTTGAAGCCTCTGTCTGGAGGGTGGCTACAAATGCCAGCCCTGCCCTGACAGGGCTCCCGGGGAGGTGGCCGTGGGTGTCTGTGGTGCACCTTACACGGGCAATTCTTCATCCTGGTGAGCAGCCTGACACCTCAGTGTCCACCCGTGACCACGTGTCCCTCACCCAGGAAGCGTGTTCATGTCGGTGGGCCCCCTTGGCTCTCGTCCGACGTGTGTCTAGTTTATTTCTCCTGAGAAGCCCCTCTCCTGGAGAGCCCTGGCCAGGAGGAGAGTCGGTTCAGGTGTCGGGTTGGTAAGACACACAGCAGGCAGCTCAACAAAACCCGTGGAGTCACAGAGGCAGCATGTCGCCCACAGAGCCCAGAGAGCAGAGGGCAGCGCGCCGCTCAGGGCATCCAGGACACACACTCAGCGGGTGCGGAACAAGAGTGGGGACCCTGGGTCAAAGCCTCCACTGGGTTCCAGGGTGTCACCCAGGCACTTTCCCAAGGGCAGTTCTGATGGGAGGGTCCAGAGCAGTCAGGCAGGAGTCCAGGAATCCTGCTGTGACGGAGAGGCGGTCACTGCGGCACGTCTGTGCTGTGGCACGTTTGTGCAGCCCGTGCAGGGTGTGGGGGTCAGCAGGGCCAGATGAGTAGGTGGACTCCTGCTGTCCCCAGGGAGGAGGTGGCAGCGGGCGTTGGCATGAGGCAGGTGTCGGGATCAACCATCTGGAGGAACAGGGGAGGCGGAGAAGTGAGGTTGTGCCAACAGCCCTGCCTCTGGTGTGAGAAAGGTGCTCCTAGATCCAGAAGGAGGCCAAGGCAGCAGGACAGTGGAGGGATGAGCCACAGCGGGCAGAGACAGAGTGTGACGCGCCTGACTTCACGGAGGACCCTCCTCCCCTGCTGGGAACAGACCACAGGGTGATGGCGGCAAGTGGGGAAGCCTGGCCGGGGAGGGATGTCCTGGAGGCCAGAGACTCCATGTGGAAGGGGCGGGCAGGCAGTAGGGCACATGGTCAGAGGGCATCCGGGGAGGTGGGAGGAGTGGGAGGAACATTGGTGCAGCCCTGCTGCAGCTGAGCGCGTCCTCTGTTTTCTGTCGAGGCCACGGTTCCAGCCTCCTCAGGCCCGGTGCAGAGGCCTCTTTCCTCCCTGCGTTCAAACTTCCTTTGAGGACTTAAAAGCACCTCTTTGCCCTCTGCCCTCCTTGCCCTCTTGGTTTGAGGATGGACATAAAAGGGAGCTGTTGGCCAAAAAATGCGGTTGACCACGGGACCTTCAGTGTGGCAGCTGTGACAGTGGAGTCGCCACGCAGCCATGTGCATCCTTCCCCCTGAAATGCATTCTCTTGGCTTCAAGGAGTCAGACTGTGCCCAGTGGTCTGAGCAGGTGTTTGTGGCTCCATAAACGCACCCACGGGAGCGAGTGTGTAAATGGCGTGTGTGTCCCACAAATATGTAACCAGGGAGTTTGTGAAAATGTCCACACCCACAGTCAGCCCAAATAGGCCTCAGAGGCAGCAGCTCCTGGCCCCAGTGACCACCTGGACACCAAGGTGCCCAGTTGGGATGACCAGACAGCATTTCCCAATGTGGGGTCCCAAGACAGAACTGTGAGATACTGCAGAGCCAAACACTTAGAAAGCTGCGCCATCCTGGGCAGAAACGCATGCCGGGTGGGGCTGGTCTAACTTGACCCACAGGTTGCAAGACACACCAAAGGCTGTTTCAAGGAGTGGGCCCTGAGTTCACTATGCCCGCTGTTCTGGGGTCCCCACCGCAAACCTCAGGCCCTGCTTCCTTTCCTTTGAATCCCATCGCAGCCCATGGGGGTGCAGGCTCCTCGGGGGCACATGCCTGGGCCCTGTGGGTTGGGGCCACTGATAGGGATGAAGCAGGCGCAGTCTCAGACAGGAGCCGCCAGGGTCACAGACCCAGGGGAGCTGCAGGCAGACCCGGGCTTTGACACCATGAGGGTGCCGTGGGAGCCAAGGAGGCGAAAGTCCACCTACTACAGGCATGGCAGGGAAGACGCAGAATCTGTGGATTCATGATCTGGTCCGCAGAGAGGGCGCCCGGTCCAGGACGAAGTCCAGGTTCCTTGGCGACCTGCAATAGGCCTTTCAGCGGAATCCTTGGAATACAGGGTGTGGCCTCCCATCTGGGAGGAGCCCGGATCACTAATCTGTGCAGGAGAATCTACCTCCAAGGAGCTGGCAGCCAATGTGTGGGGAAGATGGACTCGGCCACAGCCGGGTCCTGAGAGGAGCCTCAGGACAGGCTGGCGGGAGCGAGGGGCACTGGCTGGGTGCTCCAAGGGGCTCCTGGTGAAGGAGACCCTGGCACGTCTTCTTCCAGCGTAACACAAAGTTGATGAATCAAATCCTTTCACGGGGGAGGGAAGGTGTAGTTAGAGGCAGGGACCACCTGGGAGCCAGACCCCCCAGGGGTGCAGTCCCCACCCCATGCTCCACATCTGGCCACGTCGTCGCTCGGTTTCTCAGAGGCTCCGTGTCCCCATCTGCTGTGTGGAGCGACGGCAGGGGGGACCAAGTGAACACGGGCATGCTGAGAACAGGGACAGTGCGTCCTCTCGAAGAGTCCCCTGGACGTCCCGCAGGTGTCGTCTTTCCAGTGACTGTGCCTGGTGCTCTCTGCAGTCTCTCGGGTTCCTGCAGAGCGCCGTTTGCCATGGAAACCCCCGAGGGTGGGCTGTGCTTTTGGCGGTTCCTCTCTCCCTGTTCTCTGAGTCTCACAGTGGTCAGGCTCCAGTGGCAGACGCGGGTTTCGTCACAGTGCATGGAACACGCCATCACACACCGGGAGCATCGGGGTCTCCCCTGTCCAGCCGCCCCAGCCCTGGGGTCTGGGAAGCAGGGGGAGGAGACACCAGGCTGCACTCAGGGGCTCACCTTCTCCTCAGGCCATGGCATCCCCCAGGATCGAGGCTGTCGTCAGGCAGTAGCACAGGATGGGGGGGTGCCCTGTGTGGGAAGAGGGGACAGGGCAGCTGCTGTTCGTGGACATCACCGCAGGGCTCGTGTGCCGGTGGAGCCCACTCACAGGGCAGGTGCAGACCGTGGGCCTGAGTGAGTAGAGCGTGGGGGTCCCCGCAGGGAGGGGACTCGACACCCCCTCCGTGGTCATCAGGGTGGGGACCGTGTGTGAAGGCACGTCCGTGTGTGAAGCAGAGACCGGCTGTCTCCAAGTGCGGGATGTGGGAGGTTACGGAGCTTCCCCTGACTTTGTCAGAAGAGAAACCAGCCCACTAGTAGCCGCTGCAGCTGGTCACCATGGTGGCTGCAGGCAGGGCTGGCCACCTCAGTAATGTCCTGGAGGAACGGTAGTGGCTGCTGTGGGGAGGGAATGCACAGGACGGCTGGCTGAGGAGGGGTCTAAGGGCCAGCACGGCCAACCCAGACGGTGCCCGGAGCAGCTGACGCCCGCCCCAGGAAGAAGAGAAACATTTCCTCATCGGCCACGGCTCCTAACAGGTGCCACGGCAGGGTGGGGGTGGCACTGGCCAGTGGAGAGGCAGCCACGGGGGCCCCACCTGTCCCTCTGTGTTTCTCCAGGAAACCGCATTGGCTGCGTGGCTCTGTGCCAGAACGGGGCCTACATGGTAGCGGCTGGCACCCACCTCGGCTTCCTGGACTGGGAGACACAGCAGGTGCAGTGGGTGGCCTGGCTGGACAGGGACAAGCCCCACAACAGGTTCACCGACAGCAAGGTGGGCCCTGCCGGGAGGTTTGTGGCAGGTGGGCTTCTGGAAGGTCAGGTGTGGCCTCAGCCCACTGCAACCTGGGTCATCTGGAGGCCAGTGGCCACCTGGACAGTCCCACGCTCAGGGCAAGTGCCAGGGGCCAAGCAGGCAGCTTTGGGCAGCTGTCCCCCTTCATGGCAGGAGACCACTCGGACGTCCAGTGCATGCCGTGTGCTGCTGGGCGCTTCCAGATGAGAGTTGTCGTTCCATTGCGTTCTGTCCAATTCCATACCCCATCTTTTCACCCCACTATGCCTCCTGGGCTCCTGGCTATCCGTCCAGATGTGGCTTCAGCCACCCCTGGAAATGTTAATCTCATCAGCATGTGGCATGGCGAAGGGCACCTTCCCTGAGGTATCCATGTTCGTGAGAATGCCCCGTGTGCCCTGGGTGTCCTGGGGTGGGATTCAGAGCCCCATGAGCACAGTCTGTGTCCTGGGGTGGCCTGCAGTGCTCGGGCCTCCGGGAGGGCCCTCAGCCCCGAGGTGGAGGGGGCCGGGGAGGTCTCACACCTGGGGATGTGAGCGTGTGGGCACAGTTGAGCCGCCTGCAGACAATTTGCTGTAGAAACCCTGGCTCTTGCCTGAGAAGACTGGGAGGAAACCTGCACGTGGAGATGCCGGGCTGGGGCTGGGGCTGGGGCTGGGGGCACGGCTCAGCCTGCAGAGCACCAGCGGTGCCCGAACCGGCCAGGGGTGTGGTTCTCCCACCAGGTGGAGGGTGTGGGAAGTGTGCCCTGTGCACCAGTGTGTGCCGGGGTCCCCAAGACCACCCAGGTCTGGACACTCCCAGGCAGCTCACGGGGTCGGTATATTGTGGTGTGCTTGCGGCTAACATGGGTCTCAGGGCTCCTGAGGACACACAGCCGGGTCTTGGGGAGGACAGCAGGGTCAGGAGGAGCCACACGCCACTTCCCTGTGCTCCCTGCCTCCCACGAGGTCTGCAGAACACCCTCTTCCCAGCAATGAAGAGGCAGCCACATGTGTGTGATGGTTCCTCCTGGGGAGCCCGTCAGGGACTCGGTGCCCAGGGTGTGTGCTGGGGGCTGGTCACATGGGCGCCATCCACCCTGTATCTCCCAAACTTCAGGCACCCAGAGGAAAGCCCGTGTGCAGCATAAACCCATGGTTCGCACTGTGTGGGCACAGGGCCTCTTACTGGTGAGGGAGATTTCATAGCAGCATAGGGAGCTGCTCAGCAGCTGTAGGAGTGTCCTGGAACTGCCACACAAAGGACCACACACTGGGAGGCTTAAAACAACAGGAATGTATTGTCTCCCAGTTCTGGGGGCAGAAGTGTGAGATCCAGGGAGGATCCTTCCTGCTTCTTCCAGCTCCTGGTGGCTCCAGGCGTCCCTGGGCTTGTGGCTGCATCACTCCAGTCTCTGCCTCCATCTTCACGTGGCTTTTCTTCTGTGTCTGTGTCTCCTCTTCCGTCTCTTATGAGGACTCGTGTTATTGGATTTAGGGTCACCCTAATCAGGGATGACCTTGTCTTATTACATCACCGCAGGCCCTATTGCCAAACAAGGTCCCATTCCCGGGTTCTGGGGGTTCGGATGTGGATTTGTTTTTGAGGTCCCCCATTGTGCCACTGTAACAGTCCGGTTTCCTGACATTGGCCAAGGGTCCTTCCTGACCTCCTTCCTGAGGAGGGCAGTCCCAGGCCCACGATGTTCACTCTGCACAGAGCATCTTTCATTTCCTGGGGAGTGGCTGTAGTTTGGGGGCTGGGCAGGGGCAGGGGGAGGGGCTCTGTTGGAGCCCTGGGGGCCATTCCCTGACCTCCTGTCTTTCAGGCACCATGCCGGAGCCGTCCGCCCCAGGAGTGTGGGAGCGAGGGCAGGGCTCCCTGTACACGCTCTATGCTGACCACTCGGTGGTCAGACACCTGCATGGGCTGGGCATCCCAAATGGGCTGGACTGGTCCCTGGACCACAGCACCTTCTACCACGTTGACAGCCTGGACTACTCCGTGCATGTGTACGACTATGACGTGCAGACCGGCAAGATCGGTAGGAGCCCCGGCCCTTCCTTACTCCCGCCCTAGCCCACCATGAATACCCCCCACCCGCCAACTCCCTGAGCTCTGCCCAGAGAGGGCGGGAGCCCAGACCAGGGAGACAGAGATGGGCAGGCCCTCGCAGAAGCTACATGCCGGTGGCAGTGGGTCGGCCAAGGCTCAGTTACTCCCCAGCGGCCTGGGGTCGGGTCTGAGTGTCCAGGGCTCAGAGCTTTAGGGCTGCACCTGCATCTGCCTGTGAGGGTCACCTGGGGTCTAAATGTAGGGAAATCTTGTCCCTCAGGCATTCTCTGGTGTTCCACCCCCCACGCCCCAGGCCCACCTTAACATCAGAAGCAGCTTTTTCATGTCTCACTTCTTTTTTTTTTTTTTGTCTTTTTCCATGTCCAGCAACGGATCGCAACCCTCAGTGTTGCCCCCGTACCGGACCGGGGACCAGCAACGGGATTGCAACCCTCGGTGCTGCTCCCGCGCCTCGCTCAGCCAGTGAGCGGGAACCGGTCTGTATGTGGGATCTGAACCCTCGGGCGGGAGCGCCGCCGCGCTTCCCAAGCGGCGCTCTATCCAGTGCGCCACCGGGCCGGCCCCTTCATGTCTCACTTCTACGTGCCCCTGGGGAAGGACTGTTTTATCATCGCAGGAAGCAGGCACTGTCCAGTCACGGACAGAGAGAAGGGACGGCTGCCCATCTCCCCTGCATGGGAAAGGAGCCACGTGCTCACAGAACCTGCTTCAGGCAGATGGCAGGTGTCCACCCAGTGGTCAGTTTCCGTGTAATCAGTGTCACCTTCTCCTCATGGCCCTGGGTCAGGGTCACTGAGTCATGTCAGGGCCTCACATCCATTCAGTTGTCAGTAAAGGGTGATGCCCACCCAGTGGTCACTATGGCCTGACGTGCACCCTGTGGTCAGCGTCACCGTCTCCTTCTCGTCCTGGGTCAAGAGGCACAGGAGTGACTGTGTCAGAGCCTCATGTCCACCCAACGGTCAGTGAGAAGTAATGTCCACCTGTGGTCAGTAAGGAGTGATGTCCACCATGTGGTCAGTGTCCTTGTGGTCAGTGTTACCCTCTCCTCCTGGCCCTATGTCAAGGATCACGGGAGTGACCACTTCAGAGTCACCGAGTTGTGTCAAGGTCTCACATCCACCCAGTGGTCAGAGTGGCCCTGTGGCTCTGGATGAGGGTTGCCCGTGGCTGACTGTGCTCAGCAACTTGGTGATCGCCTCACTCAAGAGACAAGCACCAGCCCTCAAGGCTCCTGGTCTCTAACACTCAGAGATGTTGTTTCCAGGCAAGGACCTAGAGCACCTTTTCCACGAGAAACAGCCTGAGCTGGGATGAGAGGCTGAGAGGCTTGGAGGGGGTGGACGATAGAGGTTCCTCTGACGTTTCCCTGTCCAGGGAGCCGGGTGGTGCTGGAGAGTCCTGCGACTGCCACACAGGGGACCACACACTGGGAGGCTTAAAACAATGGGAATGTATTATCTCCCAGTTCTGGAGGCCGAAGTGTGAGATCCAGGTGTGGCAGGGCCGTGCTCCCTCCAGAGGCTCCAGGGGAGGATCCTTCCTGCCTCTTCCAGCTCCTGGTGGCTCCAGATATCCCTGGGCTTGTGGCCACATCACTCCAGTCTCTGCCTTCATCTTCACGTGGCTTCTCCTCTGTGTCTCTGTCTCCTCTTCTGTCTCCTATGAGGACACCTGTCATTGGATTTAGCACCACCCTAATACAGAATGGTCTGATCTTCACTAATTACATCTGCAAAGACCCTATTTCCGAATAAGGTCCCATTCTGAGGTCCCCGTTGACATGAACATAGGGGACACTACTGAACTCACTACAGCAGGTGAGGCAAGGCCGGCTGGCAGGTGTGGATTCAGATGCTGGCGATGCCGTTGAGATGCTGGTATGGACCAGGGGGCCAGGCTGGGCAGTCCGGAGGCCTTGGGCCCTAGAGCAGGAAGGCGGTCGCAGTCCTGAGGGTCAGACCTCGCCCTGCTCACAGGGTCACAGCTCTGCGTGGTGGACATGCCTGTGTCCAGAGTCACATCCTGCTTCGGGGGACCTACTATGCGGACCTCTACGTGACCTCCGCAGCGCACGGCCTGAGCCCGGAGCAGCTGTTGCAGGAGCCCCAGGCCGGACACGTCTTCAAGGTTTGATGAAGTCATTTATACTCAGAGTCCCCAAGGTGGCTTTTGTGCCGCCTCTGCACGGGACAGGGGTGAGAGGTTGTCTCTAAGGTCTGGGAAGTTTGGGTAGGGTGGGTGACGTCCACAGACAGACAGGGATTGTTTATCAATCCCCTCAGAAAACAAACATTTCCAACGCTTTACCCACCTCAGCGTCACATGAAAACTGTGTCTTTAATGTGCGGGTTCAGAAGTAGCTAGAGCTGCTGTGACCTCGCCCTGCCAGTGACACGGTGCTTCGACAGCACCCGGACTGACCACAACATCTGCTCTGTCGACAGGTCACAGGCCTGGGGGTGAGAGGGGTCGCACCTCGACCCTACCCTGGCTGAGCGAGAGCTGCTTCCTGGGGCAGCCAGAGCCGCCGGACTCCGTGTCGAGGGACTGCGCCAAGGTCAGCCATCCGTGCACGACACAGCTGGTTCACAGCACGATAATAAAGGTGGCAGATCCTCAAAGTCTTCCTGTCGTGTTTCAGGGATTGCACTCAGGGTAGGCGTGAGGTCTCTGTCCGCCTCCTCTCGGCTCTGGGCTGTCCACGCCTCTCACACAATTCACGGTCCCCACGCAGACACCCCGTCATCCCAGAAACCATCCTGCATCTCTGCAGAACTTCAATTCCCTGGCCAGGACTTGGTATTAAGTCACTGATAGATACAATGTTTTTTATTAAGTTGTGGTAAACATACATAAAATTCGCCATTTTAAAGTTTACAATTCAAGGCATGTAGTACATTCACACAATGTTGTGTGACTGCCACCTCTAGTTCCAGAACATTTTCTTCACCTCAAAGGGACACCCCTACCCCTCAGCTCTCAAGCCCCATCCCACTCCCCTGGGGACCTCCAGTCTGCTTCCTGTCTCTGTGGATTTGTCTGTCTGGACACTTCGCATAGATGGAATTAGGCACTGTTGTGTTCCCCTATGTCTGGCTTCTGTCACTGAGAATGATGGTTTCAAGTTTATGCACGTTGTAGCCTGTGTCAGGGCCTCCTCCCTTTTCATGGCTGAGTAATATTCCATTGTGTGGGTGGACCACGCGTGTCTATCTGTCCGTCCATTGATGGACCACTAGGCTGTTCCCACCTTCCGGCTCTCCTGCACGGTGCCGCTGTGAACATTTCTGTACGAGTTTTTTTTCAGCGTCTGTTTTCAATTCTTCAGGTACATTCCCAGGAGTTGAATTGCTGGGTCACGTGATAACTCCATGTTTAGCTTAAGGAGCCGCCAAACTGTCCGTCCACAGCACTCTGCATCCCCCCAGCAAACAGGCACCCCAATGATAACGGAAAACACCAAGTCATTGATTCTCGGGGGCGCTGGAGCATGGAACACGCTGAGGGTCTCACCATGCGTGTGGGCACACGAGGGTGTGCAGCCGGCTCTGCCTGCTGCGCCGTCCAGTGTCTCAGATGTGGAGGCCTGTGGCTCGGGTTTTCAAAGTGCTGACTTGTCCTCCTGTGAAGGAACGGGGGTGCTGGAACTGGCCTCCGAGTCCTGGTCTGGGAGCCAGGAAGACGGTCCACAGGGACTCGGCCACCTTCATTATCGTGGGAGGACGTGAGGCCCGTTGGAAGGTGCTCCTGACTGAGTGGTCAACCTGGGGGATGGGCAGCGGGTCCCAGGGGACAGGGGAGGAGACTTCAGCCCAGGTACAGACTCTCACGTCAGGGCTCCAGGAGCTGGGCAAGGCCAATGGGAACCTAGTCATGTGGGAGTGGACCCGGCTGCGCACGACTGGTGAGGATGGAGAACACTTGGAATACCGGGAACACTGAGAACACCAGGAACACCAGGAAATCGGGGAGCACGGGGAACAGTGGGAACACCAGGAACACCAGGAAATCTGGGAATACGGGGAACACTGGGAAGGCAGGTACACGTGCAGCCTCTCCTCCTGCTGGTGAACCACTTGCTTTTGCTGATGGTGTGTCCAGCATGTGCGTGGAAGATCCCTTGGAGAGGGAGGAAACGTATACGGTGGTATCAGAAATGCCTCTGATGCTGGGGGTGGAATTCAAAGGTCCCGAGCGGGTTCCGCGTCCTCCTCCTGCCTCGGCCACAGCCGTCTTCCGTCCCTGCCGTCCCTGCTGGGGCAGACAGGAAACCAGGAGAGCGCTCCGTACGGGGCATCAAATGCCCACTTTTATGAGAACCTCAGGTGCACCACCTGCCTCGCGGCCGGAGACCCACAAGTCACCCACCTGGCCTAATGGGGCAGAGCCACAGGTGGGTCTGCAGGTGCCTGGAGCCCAGCACGGCTTCACCACGAAACGCCCTCTAGTTCCCACCGCCGACGCCTCGGCAAGGGCCGCAGGGGTGGGCTTGTGTGTGATTCCTGCACGATGCCTGCCCAGCCCAGCAGCCCGAGGCGTCCAGTACAGCAAAGAAACAAAAGCCGCCTCCCCGTCCTCCGAGAGCCAGCTCCGACGTCCTGCAGCCTCCTCGTGTGCACACATTGTGCAAACATTTCAAACGTGCTCCCAAAACGCGGCTTTCTGGGCTGCACAGTATTTCACCACCTGAATGTCCAATTGAACTGAGGGGTGTTTCATTTATTTCACATTTTTCTACAGCAAATAACGCTGGGATGGGCACCTCCATTCCCATGTTTCTTCAGGACCTTATGGTTCCTCCCTGGGGCAGATTCTCAAAGGGGAGTCTCCTTGACAGACACGTGCTGGGAAGGCTTTTCCCCTTTGACTAGGTCATTGACCCAATACTTGCACTTTGAAATTTTTCTAACCCATGGAAAAATGGAAAGAACAGCAAAATGAACACCTAAAGGTGCTTGCTGGGGACTGACGACGTGCTGAAGTGCTGCCACATGTGCGTG